ATATCATCAATGGCATATCTTAATTAAAGCCCAATAGCATGCCAACAGAGGTCTATCTATAACATTGTCTATCTATAACAGTGTCAATGGGTACAAGAGAATAATGGAACCTATGAGCCTCTATATGTTCTTACACAACAACTTCCATCATCATCATCATCTGCCATTGGCTATGCTGGGGAGAGCTGATGGGAACTGCAGTCACACAACTTCTGGAGTGTCGCACATTCCTCATCCTTGTTCTACAAGGATTACGAATTCACCTAAATATCCATTCATTCCTGTAAAAAGATTGGGTTTTTTTCCACTGCTACCTAAATCCTTCTTTGATCTATTGGCCCTTCCAGAGCTTTTACAAGAGCACTTTCATCATGTGCCATTTCCTCAAACAGCAGGAGCCCAGCGTGTGTTGGAAAAAGCCAGGGTTGTTTGTGGTCAGTGCAGCGCTGAACACAAACATACCATTCCTCTTTGCTAGAAGGAGTATAAGTGTTATCCCTGGTTTATTTATAAATTAATCCAGATTTTATATATATATACACACATACACACTCTAGATTATAGTTATACAATATAATATTTACATAAAGGTGCCTCCCAAGAATCAAATGAGGCAGCATTTAAGAACATTAAAAGGAAACTGAAAACCAAAAGAAACTAGCAAGCAAGCAAGAAAGAATAGAAGGATGGATGGATGGATGGATGGAAGGAAGGAAGGAAGGAAGGAAGGAAGGAAGGAAGGAAGGAAGGAGAAAAACATATATCAGTAGATAAAATAAGAAGCATGAGCAAATGAAGAACTTCCTAAAACACCAAATTGCTAGGCCTGGGTAACAACGGAAAAATTTGTTTCTAAAATCGATTTGTATTTGGGGGGTTTTTTTTGTTTTGATATTTAAAATAATTACAAAATTTTCCTTTTAAAAAGTTCGATATTTACGAAATTTCGTAAATGATAAAAAAAATTAACGAATCGATTTCCGAAACAATAACGAATCGATTCGTTAATGGCGGACGCGACCGCGAAATACGCTAAAAAACCTCCAAAACCTTCTGAAGCTTCCCTCTCCCTCTGTTGTTGACTGTTGGTGTGATATTATAATTTTTTTTCACTAATTAAACCATAAAACTGGCCCAGACATGCGGAAATAATAACGAAACGACCTCAAAACAATAACGAAACGAATACAATATCGAAATACGAAGCATTTACAAAACGTTTTTGAAAATTCGTTTTTTTTTAATAATTGCTCCAGAATGGTTCGTTATCGTTTTGTAATTGAAAAAATTAACGAATTATTAACGAATTACGAATTAACGAAACGAAACCGCCCAGCCCTACAAATTGCATATTTAGCTTTTTTAAAAATCATGTCAGAAGCGAATTGGAGTCATTTCTGGTGTGAGAGAATTGGCTGTCTGCAAGGACGTTGCCCAGGGGAAGCCCGGATGTGTTACCATCCTGTGGGAGGCTTCTCTCATGTCCCCACATGGGAAGCTGGGGCTGACAGATGGGAGTTCACCCCGTCTCATGGATTTGAACTGCCAACCTTTAGGTCTTTAGGTCAGCAGTTCAGATGGCACAAATGTTTAACCCATTCGCATCACCATGGCTCCCATTTAGTTGTTGCTTTAATCATACAATGTTTGGCGGATTTGCAGTGACTGAACCAGTTTGATCACCATAGTTCATAACCCACCAGATCAGGCTGTTATATTTTATGTGACTTGTGCATCTCTTTGGACACATATTGGACGAATCATAAGACTAATCATGCAATTATGCAACCTTGAAAAGGAAAAGGCTAAGTTTCACTTCCACACATGCACAATAGCATGTCTGAGTGCTCTCCCATACAAGACTTGGGTCAAAATGCAAAACCTAAGTTCTATCTGAGCATTATTTAATCTGATAGATGAACTTTACAAAGGCTCCACCATCTCCCCTTAGATGCCCATCTTCATGTGAAGAGTAACTTACTGAACAGGAGATATTTCTCCTTGCATTCCATTTAATTCAGCAGAGCCACTGGTGGAGCCATGGGTTAAACCCTTGTGCTGGCAGAACTGCTGACCAAGAGGTCAGTGGTTCTAATCCAGGGAGAGTGGGTTGAGCTCCCTCTGTCAGCTCCAGTTCCCCATGTAGGAACATGACAGAAGCGTCCCACAGGATGGTAAAACATCAAGCATCTGGGTATCCCCTGGGCAACGTCCTTGCAGATGGCCAATTCTCTCACACCAGAAGCAACTTGCAGTTTCTCAAGTCGCTCCTGACACTTTTTTAAAAAAATTCAGAACACTAATTTTCTAACTCAGTCTATACAGATGTTGGAGGCTGTCAGGCATCAGAAAGTATTGTAAAAGACAGATACAAAGTATGCATGCCCAGTTCTTCTTGCAGGTAACAAGTGCTTTCATAGTAACTGGAATGGTACCTCCACTTTGTATTCCTGTCTGAATAATAAAAGAGCTTTCCAAGGTGGCAAATCTTATCCACAAAGCAATTTTTGTAGCTTGAAGTTCCTTTAAAATTGATACTAAAACCCAAGGTGAATTCCCAGCCCCCTTCCATACAGCTGAATAAAATCCCACATTATCTGCTTTGAGCTGGAATATATGGCAGTGTGGACTCAAATAACCCAGTTCAAAGCAGATATTGTGGGAAGTTCTGTCTTGATATTCTGGGTTATATGTTTGTGTGGAAGGGCCCCCACTGACTTTGAAGCCATCACTTGCTACTGCTTGGATGTCCTACTTTTGCTGTTGTAACAAGGGATGGAAACCAATAACTTTAATGTAGGATGCATAAGGAAGAAACTTCTTACTTAAAATGCTGCTAGTTAAATCAGCATATCCATTTCCAAAATGCCAGTTCCTTCTAGGCAAAATGCAAACTCACTCCCTTGAAAGTGCTATCCTTCTATTCAGGGAATCTGTGCCAAAGATTTCAAACTATCATATTTTCCATTTTTAGAAATTTGTCTCTAGAGCAGCAGTGGCACATGCCAGATTTGCTTACATGTGGCATATGCTTCAAAACACATTGGGTTTTCACTGCACCAGTTAATCGTCAGCACATTTGGTGTTATTGCCTGTGCTTGAAGCAGGACTAAGCCAGTATCATTGTCATGCTGAGACAAAGAACATAGCAGAACCAAGTCTTCCATTGGTGAGATGACCACCTCAGGCATCAGACCTGGGCATGACAAAAAGGCAACAAAATTTAATTGTTAATTTACTGTCATTGTGTATGAGATTATGATTATGGGATCTTCTGCCTCAAAGGCCAAAATAACATGATTGTTCTTGGAAACTATGCACCATGATTTGGAGGAGGGTGCCATCCATTTCAGGCAGAAAAATATAGGGGAAACCAACTATCAATGGTTGGGTGGTGCCTATGGGAGTCCATATACTTTAATACTTCACAGATGTGTGCAGAACACATGCAACCAAGCAACATCAGAGTGTGGTTAAGATATCAAAAATTATTAATGAGGAAAAACACAAAGGCATGGAGAAGTTGTAGCAGTTTGCTTTTGCCCCAGCCTACAAGGAAAAGCAAGATTCCACCCCTTCTCTTCTCTCCTGGAGAATTAATGAAGTACAACTATTTTTGCATGTTGAAGTAAGCTGCAAACAAAGGGGGAAAGTAAGAGGAAAAGGGAGAAACTGGGACGTTGTAAAAGCAGCTGAAAAATGGAGCAAAAGGGACTTAACTGGGACTGTCCCTGACAAATCAGGACAGTTGGAACATATGGAAGTATGTGGTCTGGGCCAGCTAGTACAGCCCAATGGGACTCAATGGGACTCGAGAGAAAGTGATAATGGAAGACAGCCAGATAGTGCTGTAAATAAGGAAACAAATCTAACATTATAGAACTTTAGAAAGAATGAATTAAACTGGAAGGTTAGAGGCAAGGGCTATCACCATTCACCCACTCCTAGCATCTTCTGCCTAAAGAGACCTTATTTGGTCTTATAGTAGGCTAAGTCCTCGTTCCATATACTTTAGTTAACCTCCGTATGTTCACAGAATGTCTATATTTTCATATTACTATAGTTACTAGTACTAAGTAGAAACCTGATCACTCTTGTTGCTATGAGGAATCCAAAGCTAGTGTCTTATTTTCTTTACTCCAGATGATAACACTGAACTCTCTGCCATGAATGTTGATTCCATCTAATCTACTAGCCATAATGTAATTGGTCTCTTATCAGGAAAAGACTGTTTTTTTGCTAAAATAACTTTTTCATTTCCATCTGTTTCTTACTCTAAACACAAAAGCCAACTGGGAATGGTTCAGGGACCATAAAAACACTAATGAGCGCAATCCAAATGACAGCAACATATTGTGCGAACTGGGGAGGAGGCAGAAAAGATGGCACAGTTAGAGGCCATCTCATAAACATCTTGGCACAAAACAGACACACGCAAAGCCTTGTTAATATTGGATGTTAGCCGTATCAGCCTGTAGCCATGTGCTTTCTCCCACTACACACAGAATTTGGCACAATTTTGGGGCATCTATGGTAACGTGTTGTTGTTGTGTACCTTCAGGTTGTTTCTGACTCATGGAGAGCTTATTACAGAGTTTTCTTGGCTCATTTGCCTTCCTTGGAGGCTGAGAAAGTATGAGTTTCCCAAAGTTTCCATGGCCAAACAAGGATTCAGACCTGGCCTCCAGGTTTTTGCCCAACATTGAAACTACTACACCACACTAGCTCTCATACCAGAGGCCAAATATTCCAGATGGATATTTAATACTGCCTTCAAAAGATAGGAAACCAACACAGATGCCCAGCTAGTCTAGACAACAGTCAGGGAATCTGGAAGCTGAAGTCCAAAACATATTAATGGCCAAAGTTTGGGAAACACTACCTCAGGACATCTAACAACTTAATTAGGCAGTGACAAAGCAATGGAGAAGTGCCCATTCCTGACATATGTTCTCAACTCTAAGAGACCTAAGTTGTTTCTGTGGACAGGGGACATTTACCTTGCCAGTAGATTTCACTCCTTTCCAGATGCAAAAGTAGCAAATGATCCATGCCAGTAGGAGGCAGAGGGCCAGCTCCCAGCTCACACCCCCAAGATGTTCTATGCCGTCTGAAAGGTGTAGTACTCTTCTCCTGCGGAAGAAACAGAAACCGACTGATCCCTTTTGGGTTCCCGTGTAAACAGATGTGTTTCATCATTCCATTCAGAATTCCTCCAAGAACACCTGGCGCTACTGGAATCACAGTTGTCCTGTTTTCTTTTCATATCATTGTCATTATCATGTTTCTTCAAACAGAAACCTGGGAAATAATCTCCATAGAGAGAAAGGGAAAAAGTGTCCATTTGGAACATTCCTCAACTTGATCTTGTTCTGGGAAGCCCATAACCACCAATGTATATTATTATTATTATTATTATTATTATTATTATTATTATTATTATTATTTGAAACACAACAAGATGAGTCCACAGCAGACACTCTGCTGGCTGTTGTATTGGATCACACGTTGGACACTTCTCAAGTGTCTAGGACTGTGTGATGCATTGGCAAATAATGCGTGCAGATCCCAGTAAGGTGGCCTTCTGCAGCTGGCAGATGGTAATTTTGTCAGCACCGATTGTGTTTAAGTGCATGCAAAGGTCTTTAGGCACTGCACCCAATGTGCCAATCACCACTGGGACTACATTGACTGGCTTGTGCCAGAGTCTTTGCAGTCTGATGTTTAAATCCTTGTATTATGTCAGCTTTTCCAGTTGTTTCTCTTCAATCCTGCTGTCACCTGGGACTGGAACATCGACAATCCATACTTTGTTTTTTAATATGGTCGTGAGGTCTGGGGTGTTGTTGTTGTTGTTGTTGTTCCCTGCTTTATCTCTCCCACAGAAGACTCAAAGCAGCTTAACATAATAACATCAGCATATAATTTAAAATATACACATATTGAAATATTAAAACAGGATTAAAATCTCCTCTAATATATCTAACAAAGGATATATGTGACCAGTTTGAGGCAGCAGGTTTAACCCTTCTAATGTATTAAATGTTATGATCTTTTAGTTTTTACTGGTTTTAATGTATGACTATTTTGTATTTGTATGCCTTTGTTTGTATGGCATTGAATTATTGCCAATTTGGAAGCCGCTCTGAGTCCCCTTTGAGGTGAGATAGGGTGGGGTAAAAATATAGTAAATAAACAAATAAACAAATAAATGAATGTCAACTCCTACAGCAGCAGCAACAACAACACTTTATTTGTATACTGCTCTATCTCCCCTAGAAGACTCAAGTTGTTTCCAACATTGGGCAAAACATTCAATTGCCGAATGACACAAAAACCATACAAAATAGACATTATAAAACATGAACATAAATCCTATAAAAGGGCAATCACAAACATTTAAAAACCAGTATCAACATTTCTCCATCAACAGAAATTCAATTACCAATGGCCAGGAATTACAAAGTGCAAGAATCTAACAATATAAAAGAGCTGCCTTTTAACAAGGCAGATCATTGACTTATCTAGCTCAGTACAGTCTACTGTGTGGTTGCCTCAGACACAGAGACCTATCTCAAAGATTGCTATCTGAGATGCCAATGTCTACAGTTGGCCAGAACCAGGGCCAACATATACAACAGAATAATGGCTTATCTGGGTGGCCATTCCTGCAGAAACTAAAGTTCCTAGGGAAGGGGAAGACTTTACTTACTCCCAGAACTCAATAACAGGAGAGGTACCATTTTCTGCTGTCACATTTAGAGAAGTATTTCTCTTCTGGAATTCCACACAATTCTCTGCAAGACAGGGATCAGAGAGTTAGAATCAAATACAGTTAATGCCAGGTCTAGCTTCCATATCTCTAGGGCAATGAATCTTCTCCAGATCTGTAAAGGACATATCGAAGGAATTGAACTAATTGGGAGACAGAGTTCAGAGCCTTGGATAGCTCCTTTGATACGTGTCTATGGGTGCATCCAGACAACAGCCAAAATGCGCACCCTCCACATTTTCATGTGAGGCATCTAAACTACACCCCACGTAAAAACAAATGCTTTCAGGACAAAGCAGGAAAACCCTGCTTTGTTCTGAAGTTATGTGTCAGCCGTGGGTGGTGTCTAGACTGCCCCCCTCAGAAGCCCTGGGATTTTTGAGGGGGTTGGCCACACAGCCCTCTCACGTTTTCCAGGCTCCATGAGTCTGGAATATCTGACAGAGCTCTAACGCCCTCCCCAAACCCCCCAGAAAAGCCTTTAAAAATGAAAATAACTCACCTGGTGACCATTCCCCCTTCTCTGGCACTCTCCTGGCATGTAGAAATGGCGGGTCAGGAGAAAGTGAGGGCCAGGAGCAATTTTCCTTCTCCTGCCTTCTCTTGGCACAGTATTTCTACATACCAGGAGAGCGACAAAGAAGGTGGAATGGCAGCTGGGTTATTTCCTTTTTGTAAGGCTTTTCTGAGGGGTTTTATTTTGTGTTCACATGCCCTGCCAAACTTTCTAACAGTGCATGTGGACACCCACCCACCCCCTCCCCAAAAGCATGTGCTTTCTAAGGCATGTGTGGACTTTAATCCAGGCACAATCGTGTTTTTAAACCCAATTGCTCCTGGGTAAAAGCGCTGTGTGGAACCACCCTATAACTCATGGTTGAGTCTTCATCCTATTAAAAAAGAAACATATGTAAATAGCTAACAATCCAGTTCTCTTTGCTTATTTTGAGTGAGATGAGACAAGCTTGGTTGTCCATTATTGCTTCAGAGCTCATCAACTAGTGCCAGTTCTATACGGTATGTCCCATGGTGGCAATGTTGCAGATGGCTAATGCTAAAGTAGAGTTGGCCAACTGTAGCAGAATTCCTGCTCATTGAATCGCAGAAGAGTGCAAAGTAGTGCAGCTTTGACATGTCAAAACTGAACAGTAACATTTTTAAAGCACAGAGTAATTGCAGAAGGTTACGCATGATCTAAAGTAGGAGAGAAAGGAAGTGGTTAGGTGGATTTCCTTAGCTATTGCTCTAGTCAGGGAGTGGGAGTAGAGGTGGAGATTATAGATGACTAGTAATAATGTAGAAAATTTCACAATGCAAACAAATCCTAAGCTAACGATCACACAGAAAGGTACTCTCACATAGATGCATTCTAGTTACCTGTATTCCACTCATGGTCACAGCTGCCCCATGGAAGATTTATGGTAAATGAGCTGAAGAGATAAAACAAGGCCCAAGCCAGAACTATAATATAATAGAAATTCAGGAGTACAAGAATCACCTGAGAGGCATAACCAATTCCTGCACAGAGAGACAGAGAGGTGGAAAGAAAAAGACCAATAGTGAACACCATACAGAGTAAATTTTTATGATTACACTAAATAATAAGAAACTCATCTGGGAATACCTTTTCAAATCCTATTTTCCTCTCTACCACTTAAAACATAATAATCAGTAATCAGAAAATGAACGTCCAATTCCTGCTTTTATAACCCGCCCTTCTCACTCAGGGCAGCCTCACAACAAGCACAATCTGGTGCTTTCGCATAAACATTCAACAAATACAATTAAAACATTAAAACAGTTAATTAAAAACAGTTAATTAAAAAGCAATTAATTAAACACTAGTCAATTCAACAATAACAATAAAAAATCCCAATAACACCATGAAAAAACAACCAAAAGATGTAATTCAAACAGTAACAGTAACAATGATGCATAAAACCAAACCAAAACATACCAGTGGATGTCCTGAGTTGTTGATAATAGTATCTGGACCACAACATGGGAGGAAAGAGTTTAAAATCATGATTCACCCAAATTGAAATTCAGACACAAAGTTGTTGTGTCTAGTTTTATCCTGGCAAAGAGAGAAATGAAACGCCACCCCCAACTTGACAATTACACAGGTCTTTTCATATGGGTCAAACTTTCATGACTGCAGACTGGTCCCATCATCACATCTCTCCCATAATCACATCTGGCTCACCTTCAAAGAGAGGACATAGCCTCCTCCAAGACGTTACTCCTCCTTGACTGGTGTACTGCCCAAGTGCTGTCTCCAGGAAAAACACAGGGATCCCACAGGTGAAAAGAAAAATGAGGTAGGGGATGAAGAAGGCACCTACAGGTCCAGAAAGATATGGATACAATTATAGCAGGCAAAGGGAACCAGAGGCCCTCTACATATTGCTGGGCTGCAACTGTCATGATTTTCTTCTACTGGTTATGCTGATGAGAACTGAAGTCCAATAAGATCAGGAAGTACACACATTCCCTAGTCCTATGTTATAAGAATACGGATATGCTGTGCCTGAAGGGAAAGAAGACTTTCAGCACATTCCCATTCATGTTTACTGAGAAGTAATTACCACTGTGCCCAGGCAGGGTGGTTGTCATTTTTGTTGCTATTTTTGTTGTATACCTTCAAGTCATTTCTGAGTTACAGGGACCCTAAGATAACCCTATCATGGGGTTTTCTGGGATTGAGTGCGTGCGACTTCTCCAAGGTCAACCATTAGATTCCCATAGCCGAATAATGAACTGAACTCAGGTCTATTAGAAAAGCTGACTATACAGCTAAGAGTGATAAAAAGTTTGAAAGAATCAGATACACCCATTGCAGCTGCTGCCCAGAAGCTGTTTGGCACATTTTGTCTGCCTCCTGAGCAAACGTCTGTCTCACATGGGAGACCCTACCAGCTGGATTGTTGCTGTCAGCTAAGATTTTCTTTGGACAATTTCATGGAGGAATGTGATCAAAGCCACAAACTCATCCAATTACCAGCATTTTTCTTTTTGCATTCATAAGAATCTCTGAGAGACTTTCAGACTGAGGGCTCCCAGTACCTCAAATCAAAAGATACTGTGCATCTATTTATAAACCTAAACAATTCTGGCCCAGCTTACCTGTCCAAACGTATCTCCTCCTATGACCCATCTAGGAGCTTAAGATCATCTGAGGAGGCCATGCTCTCGATCCCGCCTCCCTCGCAAGTGCGATTGGCAGAGATGAAGGACAGGGCCTTCTCAGTGGTGGACCCCAAGCTATGGAACTCCCTCCCCAGGAATATTAGATCGACCCCCTCCCTCCTTACTTTCCAGGGGAAAAAAGACCTGGCTCTTTGAGCAAGCTTTTGAGAATGCAGTGGAATAGATAACACAGAACTATGAATAATGAACATGGAATGGCCAGGCGATGTTACTAGATAATGTTTTTAACAGGATGACACCGATGATTATATGCTTTAATGGTTTTTATATGTGTTTTATATTGTAATGTTGATTGTTATTAATGCCTGACATTGAATTGTGCCAATCTGTAATCCGCCTTGAGTTGTCGTATGGTTGAGAAAGGCGGGCTATAAAGATCGTAAATAAATAAAAATAATAAAATCTATTTCATCTTTTGCTTCTCTATCGATTTGTTTCCTGGTTAAAAAAGAGGCTCAAAAAAATGATAAACGCAGGAGATAGTGGTGTTAATAGTGAAAAAGCATCAAGAGAAAGAGAATGGACCACATTTTCCCTTGTTGCTTCCCTATTTAACCAAAAGAATGAGAGGGCCAAGCATATTAACCTAAACTTCTCTAATTTTTCAAAAAGTTGATGTTCATACTGTAACTCATTTCCGAAAGTAGTTTGAAGTGCAGTGCATAGGGTTTTATTTTTTAATCCTCTGAGTACTGAACCAAAATGGCAAAAGCTTGGAAGCATCTCTCCCTGAGCAGGAAATATGTGGTTTGAAAGTGATGTTGAGAATGCCAAACAAAGCACTTAAAATGAGTAACTGGGACTGTATTATTATTAGTACAGCATGGTGCATTGCCAGATGGTTCCCTGGCATACTAATGACTCACATATAGCTATTAACTAGAGCTAAGATCTGTCTTCTTGGCATACGAATCTGGGATGTCACTGACAACTTGCTAAAACACATCAAGAACACAGATCAATATGGCTTTCTCCTTATTCGTGTGGGTATCAACGACATGGCCAAGAACACTTCTTGACTGTGAAGCTTTGGAGAAGACACTGAAGGGCACAGGTGATATTCTCATCAGTTCTGGCAGCGAAGGACACAGGACTACACAAGGTCAGGAAGATACCAAAACCGAATGACTGGCTATAAGGATGGCTTCTGGAACCATAATCATTGCATCTTAGATAGATGACTGTTGGCAACCCATGGAATGCATCTCACAAAGACTGGGAATAATGTCTTTGTATGGCAAGTCTGATCAGGATGGCTTGAAGTAAAATCCTTGATAGCCCAAACATCAGGCTGAAGGTAAGCTCTGAAAACAAATATATGAATCCACTAGCTGTCCCCTGCCATGCATTGCTGTGGCCCAGTCTGTATATATGTGTTATGTGTGTGTATATCTGCATATATGTGTGTATATATTTGTGTACATGTGTGTATATATGTGTGTTTGTGGATATGTGGTTTTGCGCATGCATTGTTATTTTATTTTATTTTATTTTTTGGCTTTTTAAGTCTCTTCTGCTGTGTTTTTCAGTGTTTTTATGAGTGATGGTAACTCGTTGGCCTGACAGGTGCATTGTGTCCAAATTTGGTGTCAAGTTATCCAGTGGTTTTTGAATTATGTTAATCCCACAAATGAACATTACATTTTTATTTACACAGACTAGCCATCCCCTGCCACGCATTGCTGTGGCCCAATTTGTGTATATGTGTTTTGTGTGTGCATATGTATGTGTATATATTTGTGTATATGTATATATATGTGTCTGTGTATATTTGTGTGGTTTTGCGCATGCATTGCAATATAATTTTTGTTTTTTGACTTTTTAAGTCTCTTCTTGGGAGGAGAGCAATGACCAATCTTGATAAAATAGTGAAGAGTAGAGACATCACACTGGCAACAAAGATCCCCATAGTTAAAGCAATGGTATTCCCCGTAGTCACCTACGGATGTGAGAGCTGGACCATAGGGAAGGCTGAGTGAGGGAAGATAGATGCTTTTGAACTGTGGTGTTGGAGGAAAGTCCTGAGAGTGCCTTGGACTGTGAGAAGATCCAACCAGTCCATACTTCAAGAAATAAAGCCTGACTGCTCATTGGAAGGAAGAATAGTAGAGGCCAAGATGAAGTATTTTGGCCATATCATAAGAAGAAAGGAAAGCTTAGAGAAGAGCATGATGCTGGGGAAAATGGAAGGAAAAAGGAAGAGGGGCCGACCAAGAGCAAGACGGATGGATGGTATCCTTGAAGTGACTGGATTGACCCTGAAGGAGCTGGGGGTGGTGATGACTGACAGGGAGCTCTGGTGTGGACTGGTCCATGAAGTCACAAAGAGTCGGAAATGACTAAACGAATGAACAACAACAAAGTCTCTTCAACTGTGTTTTTCAGTGTTTTTTATGAGTGATGGTCACTCATTGGACTGATAGGTGTCTTGTGTCCAAATTTGGTGTCAATTCGTCCAGTGGTTTTTGAGTTATGTTAATCCCACAAACATTACATTTTTATTTATATAGAAGATATTGGCTTTTTTATTTACAAAATCAAGTCAAGGAAATGTCACCTCTCCCTTTGAATGTATGCACACTGCACAATTAAAAGCACTTTGATTGTCATGGGCCCATGCTGCGAAACTTTGCAATTTGTAATGTTGTGAGCAGTTTGGAAGACACCAAAGTATCCTGAAAACAGAGCAAACCAGTTTAATTCTGTAGTGGAGACAGTAGAGTTCCCTAGGATTGTAGTGTTGGGTGACAGGTTAGTGCTCTCTGGCAGAGAATTCCAAATCCTTTGCTAAACTATAGGCACGAAGGTCCATAGGATGGACCCATTGCACTAAAATGATATCAAACTGCTGTAATTGTGCAATGTGGGTATGGCCTATAGCTTTTGCACTGGTGCGAAAAACTGCAGCTAGGAGACACAGATGTTCTGTCTCCAGCAGTTACACTGAGATGAAAATTATAGTAATTTCCTTCAGCTAGACTGTAACATCAAAAGAACGGTAGAAAACAAACCATTGTTTTATTTGGGTTAAATAACCTATAGTCTTTTGCAGCCTTTCAAAGAGGTGGTTTCTTTTAAGTTACTTACCCTCCCCACAAAAATATCCCAGACACTGAACCGCCACAGCTGCCTCTGTGTGTGTTTTTTAGAAACTGTAAATAGTATGACGAGACTCAACCGGAACGTATTCTCCTTGTTTTGCATTTGGCAAGTGGTTACTTAATCTGACTTTCCGGAAGCCTGTAGGAAAGGGGTTAAGAGAACTTGCTACATGCCCCGTTCTCGATAGGTAGGTTATGAACTCTGGTCTGAAAGCTCTTGGATTTGCCTCACAGGCCCACCTAAACCGCTTTCCCATCCTGACAGCATGAAGGGGATTAGCTAGTTAGCTACTTTCACACCAGCTTTACTTTTTTGTTTTGTTTTGTTTCTCTTGCTCCTTTACTTGAGAATGTTATGGTTGAGGTACAATTAGAGGGGGCAGTTCTTGTTATTTTTGTGATTCTGAAGCTCTTCTAAAGTTGGTTTGTGCTAAGTCCCCTGTACCTTTTTGTGAATTTGGAAAAGTTGGTCAGTAAGCTTGCCCAATAGCCCAGTTCAGTGGTCATGCTAACCTAGCTAGGAGCTATAGCAGGCATGGGCTAACTAGGGCCCTCCAGGTGTTTGGACTTCCACCATTCCTAACAGCCTCGGGTCCCTTTCTTTTCCCCCTCTGCCGCTTAATTGTTAGGAATTGTGGGAGTTGAAGTCCAAAACACCTGGAGGGGAAAGTTTGCCCATGCCTGAGCTATAGCTTGTCAATACCATTGGGGCCCTTGCATCCAACAATCCTCATTCAATTGACAGTGTTGGACTGTAGTTCCCATCATCCTTCAAAATTGGCCAAACTGCAGGGGAACTGGTGGCTTCTATACTATAAGAGAGTGGAAGTGCTGCGACTTACAGTCTGAATTTAAAGCACTTTAATGATGTGAAACTCTATTCCTAATATAGATTCTACATCTCAGATAATATATTAAAAGTTTGGACTGAAATCCAAAGTGAATTCACGCACCCCACCCAAAGGACATGTAAGCTACCAACTATCAGAGCTATTATGGCTATGGCTAATGGGAATTCCAGTTCAACAATTTTTGGAAGGCCACATGTTCTTCATCCCTGGATCACAGATCATACAGGGTTTTTCTGAAGGTAAAAAAACAGGAATGTTGCAAGGCAGTTTGTGTCTTTGAAAAGAATTGATGTCACAACTTTTGTGGGTACTTGCCATTTCCTCCAAGTGGGTAAAACTTCAGAATGTAAACCTGCATGCTTCATATGCTGTTTGAATCAATGAGGAAGAGTGTCACTGTTACAGAAACTTATCTGCAAAATTGTGGCCAGTTCCAGATACCCCAAGAAAAACATTGACAAACTGGAACATGTTCAGAGAAGAGTGACCAAGGTGACTAAAGAACTGGAAACTACGACTTATGAGAAAGAGGAAGCTGGACATGTTTAGCTTAGGTAAGAACAGACTTGAGAAGTGTTGTCATGAGCATCTTTAAATATCTGAAGACATGTCATGTAGAAGATGGAATAAACTTGTTTTCTGCTGATTCAGGGAATACAATAAGAACCAATGGATTCAAAACACATAAAAAGAGAGTCTACCTAAGCATTAAGAAGGACATATTTACTGTAAGGCAATAGTTCTCCACCTGGAGTCCCCACATGTTTTTGGCCTTCAACTTCCATAAATCCTAACAGCTTGTAAACTGGCTGGAATTTCTGGGTTTGTAGGCCAAAAACATCTGGAGACCCCAGGTTGAGAACCGCTGCTGTAAGAGATGTTTGACAGTGAAATGGACTGCTTCCAAAGGTGGTGGACTTCTCTTTCTTTGAAGATCTTCAAACACAAGTTGGATGGACCTCCTTCTGGAATGCTTTTTTCAGGGGTTGGCCTAGATGGCCATTGTGGCTCTATCCAATTCCCAAATGCCATAATTCTCATGTGCGTCAAGCATTAAAAACAAAAAAACTGTACTTACCACCACCATTCTTGTAACAAAGGTAAGGGAACCGCCAGACATTTCCCAAACCAATGATTTCCCCCGCTACAGACAATACATATTCCAGTTTGTTGTTCCAGTGGCCTCGCTCTAATATTTGATCTGCTGCCTCTTTTTTCTTCTTCTCCCCACTGGGTTGTGCAGGTATTTCTCCATTGAGAACTGCCCCGGGGACTTGGTAATCCATTCCACCTTCAGAAAATCAGCACCGTGTTTCCCCCCCACTGTTACCACTTGCAACAATCAAAGTCAAGCTGGAATAAAAGCGAGAGACAAATTCAGGGACACACGCAAAAGTTCACACCACAGTTGCCCTTGCTTACAACAGCAGGAGATGTTGACGTTCCCAGTGCACAAGATGTACCCATAGACTTGACTGAGGTAGGAGGTATTTATTTTGGATTAGAAGAACACTGACAGCTTAATTTTTTAAAGAGAGAGTCATTTCAAAATGTTCTGGTTTCTCACAGAGCATCCTTTCAGCCAGAGTTCACTGATGTTTTGTACGCCACCAGGTATTTTGTTTATTTACTTCCCCCCTTTCCATTTTAATGTATTTCACTTGTCAAAACAATTCAGTGCAAATAACACAACCTAGCTTCTTTCGACAACTGTGAGCCCAGAAACATGAGGCTGAGGCTGCTGTAGGCCTTGCAGACATTTTTTGGACTTCGTCTCCCAAAAACTATGGGATTCTAATCATGATCTCTGGGAGATTCTGGGAGTTGTAGTCCAAAAGTAACATCTCCAAGGTCTGTTTCAATAGCTGGGATATCACCTTCTTCTCTGATCTTTAGAACTAGAATTTATTACTGCCCCCACCTGCCCATATTTCTGCAGTAAGTTTCCTATACAATGTGGAGGGATAGCATGCAAAAGTGCTGTCCTTCAGATGTTAAAGAATAGCAGTTTCCAGCTATTTTTCCCAGTTTGGCCAATGAAGAAGAATTCTGGAAGCAACAATTCAATGATATCTCAAAAGCCACACAAGCTGAATGCATATTGTATGGTTTAGGATTAAGAGGCCCATTTATCCCAAGAGACTATATACACCATGTCAGCTTCTCCATACACTGAGCAGATGCCTATCTCTGGATGTGCTTATTTACTAGCAGTTTTAAAGTGTTATATAAAACCTCTTTATGCAAAATAGAATTTCCTGGAAATGTTGACAATTGGAAATTCACTGCAGTGAAACAACTTACATTTTAAGATGAGGTGCCACAAGACTTTGTTAGGGGGTGGCACCTTCAGTATAACATTAACTCCCAAAGAGCAAGGTTTTGCATCAGAACAAAGCTTTTATAGCTGATTTCCTTGTACACTTTTAGTTAAAGTTTCAAATTACTCTATCATGTTACATGGTATCCACAGAAATGGCCTAAGTATCCAAATGGCACCCTGTCCCATCTGATTGTGAAAGCTAAGGAGGATCAGTTCTGGTTAGTACTTGGATGAGAGGCCACCAAAGAATACCAGGTGCTGTTGGCTTATTTCAGAGGAAGGCATCGGCAAACCATCTCTGAGGGCCCTTCCACACAGCCCTATATCCCAGAATATCAAGGCAGGAAATCTCACAATATCTGCTTTGAACTGAGTCCATACTCAGATAATGTGGGATTTTCGGCCTAGATATTCTGGGATATAGGGCTGTGTGAAAGGACCCTGAGTATTCCTTGCCTCTGAAAACCTTATGGAAAATTCATAGGGTCCATAAATCAAGAGGTGATCAGAAGACACGTGGGCATGCACATGCACACACACATACATACAATATGATGCCTGTAGCCATGGGGATATGCACAACCATGGATAATAGCAAACCTTGTTGAAATTAATGACTTTGTGCCCAGGAATACCATAGAGTTTCACCAGAGGACTGAGGGCTCCTCCAGACAGCCTGTGTTGGATGTGGTTACACTCCCCCTGAAGACGGAGATTTGCAGCTTGGGTGTGATCCTGGACTCATAGCTGAGCCTGGAACCCCAGGTTTCGGCGGTGACCAGGTGAGCATTTGCACAGTTAAAACTTGTGCGCCAGCTGCGTCTGTACCTTGGGAAGTCTGACTTGGCCATGGTAGTCCACACTCTGGTTACATCCCGTATAGACTACTGCAACGCACTCTATGTGGGGTTGCTTTTGAAGACTGTCTGGAAGCTTCCAATGGTCCAACGAACAGCAGCCAGATTGCTAACAGGAGCGGCGCTCAGGGAGCATACAACTCCTCTGTTGCACCAACTCCACTGGCTGCCAGTTTGCTACCGGGCACAATTCAAAATGCTGACTTTAGCCTATAAAGCCCTAAACAGTTCTGGCCCACTTGCATGTCCGAACCCATCTCCCCTTATGAACCATCTAGGACCTTAAGATCATCTGGGGAGGCCCTGCTCTCGATACCGCCTTCATCACAATTATTTTTAGAATTTTAACCATTACATTTGGCCCCGCCACAGGTTTTTAATAGTGTTGTGTTTTTGTTAATGTTCTGCTTTGTTATGAGTTATTTATTTTTGCACTGTATTATTATTGTTGTGTTTTTGCTAATGATGTACTTTGGGCTTGGCCTCTTGTAAGCCGCACCGAGTCCTGCAGGAAATGGTAGCGAGATCCAAATTAAGGATTATTATTATTATTATTATTATTATTATTATTATTATTATTATTTGATGGAGACGAGAGACAGGGCCTTCTCGACAGTGGTCCCTCAGCTGTGGAACGCCCTCCCTATAGATATTGGATTGGCCACCTCCCTTTTAACATTCCGGAAAAAAGTCAAGATGTGGCTTTTTGAACGAGCGTTTGCAAATGCAGAATAACTGACATAGGAAAATGGAATGACTAGACAATGAGTTTCGACAATGCTTTTAACTAGGAGACACTATGAATGTATATTTTATTGATTTGTTTAGATTTTATTATATGTAATGTTTGTAATTGTATTTATGACATTGTAAGCATTGAATTTTGCACTGTTAACCACCCTGTTAACAGGCTGAGAAAGGCGATATACAAATACAGTAAGTAAGTAAGTAAATAAATAAATGTATCCCAGAATATCAAGGCAGAAAAACCCACAATACAATATCTGTTTTGAACTGGATTATCTGAGTCCACACTCAGATATTGTGGGTTTTTCTGCCTTGATGTTCTGGGGTATAGAGCTGTATGGAAGGGCCCCTAGAATATACAAAAAGTGGGCATATTTTGTCTAGCGTCTATAAATGAAATTACCACTAGACCCCACAGATACAGGGGTAAACTATACTGTTTTGAAAGGTGCAATATAATACATTTAAATAAAACGTGGCAGTCATTTTTGTTAACACATCCTGAGCCTTTAATATGAGCTGATCACAGCAAGTAGAGGCTCCTTTTCCAGTACCACAAGTGATAGGCTTGGTGACCACATCAAATCATTCATTCACAAGATAGTTCTGCTCTCCAGATGGCTGGAAAGGGTAGCAGCGCCACACGGCTGTTCAAATCCTCAAGATTCTGCCTCGCAATGGATAGCTGAAGTAGGAAAACCTATCAACACAGCTTTCCATGGGACATGGAATCCTAATTCTGTTGGCAGCATTTTAGATATGCAGCCTTCCTTGGCTCAGACACACAAGATTGACACATCACACAGGGCATTAGCACCAGGAATCCACACATCCCAACAATTGAGAAAGCAGTCATCTTCCTCAGCTGTCCCCTTACATACTTAACATGAGATGAGAGTGATTTCATCAGTGCATTGCAGTCTGGTGATGAAGTAGACATAACTCAATTACAGCATGCATGGTGTACTTGAAAGTTAGTGAGGGGTGTATGGGTTAGTGTTTCTCAACCTTCCGAATGCTATGACCCCTTAATACAGTTCCTCATGTTGTCGTGACCCACAACCATAAAATTAATTTTATTTATTTATTTATTTATTTATTTTGTATGCTTATATACCGCAATATCTCAGCCTACAACGGCGACTCATTGCGGTTAACAGTACTTAAAAACAACAATAATCAAACAATTTAAAAGCATAAAAAACATATACAGTACACAGTATCGGGCCACCAATACCGACCAATGCATCTCTTAGTTAAAATCATAATCCGAATTCATCGTCAATAATTACCAGTCCTTGTCATCAACTTCATCGCACCGGATTACCCGAATGCTTGTTCAAACATCCATGTCTTAAGTTTTTTTCGAAATACCAACAGCGAGGGAGCTGATCTTATCTCTATAGGGAGGGCATTCCAAAGCTACTACATACCTGTAATTTTGCTACTGTTATTAATCATAATGTAAATATCCAATACGCAGGATGTATTTTCATTCTCTGGACCAAATCTGGCACAAAAATATCGAATACACCCGAATTTGAATACTGGTGGGGTGGGAAGAAGTATTGATTTTGTCATTTGGAAGTTGTAGTTCCTGGGATTTATAGTTAACCTACAATCGATGAGCATTCTGAACTTCACCAACAATGGAATTGAACCAAACTTGGCACGCAGAACTCCCACAACCAGCGGAAAATACTAGAAGAATTTGGTGAGCATTGATCTTGAGTTTTGGAGTTGTAGTTCACCTACATCCACTCAGCACTGTGGATTCAAACAATGAGAACTAGACCAAACTTGGCATGAATACTCTATATGTCAAAATGTGAACACTGGTGGAGTTTGGGGAAAGCAGACCTTGACATTTGGGAGTTGTAGTTGCTAGGATTTATAGTTCACCTACAATCAAAGAGCATTCTGAACCTCACTAACAATAGAATTGGGCCAGACTTCCCACACAGAACTCCCATGTCTTGAAGGAACTCACTGGTGCGAGCCTCCCTCTAGCCTCACACACTCTCCCTCGCCCAGACATGTGCACCACGGTGCCATGTGCTGAGCACACCTACTCTCCCCTCCTCACTTGGAGTCTCAGAAACAGCCCTCCCCTTGGCTGAGAGGCCTGCCAATCACAGCAGAGGAGGGCTTTGGTGGGAGGATTCTCTGTCTGTTTCCAAAAAGAAAGAGGACAGATTGAGAGATTTTCAGCCTTTTCTGCCAAAAGGGTTCCTAAGATAATCAGAAATACATGTTTTCTGATTGTCTTTGGCAACCCCTCTGAAACCCCCCCCCCCCCCCCCGGTGACCCCCCCCAGGGGTTCCGACTCCCAGGTTGAGAAACACTGGGCTATATTTTAGAAGAAGAAACCGGAAAACCATTTGTGAGTAGTCCTCACCTAAGAAAACCCTATGA